ATTATGGGGATGTGAAAGTAGAGAATATGGAAATAACCCCTCTTGAGTCACAGTTATTTTGCTAGTAAAAATACATGTCTTGTGCTCAAATTCATTGTCAAAGTGTTTGGTGTGGCCTAGCTAGGAATTGTAAGGTATCAGAAGGGGATTTGGACCTCCATACCTCAAATTTTGCATGGACTTACAATAACTTTTTTGTGTTCCAAAACTGACAACTCTAAATGAATTTTCAATAACTGCATTTATTTAGCTTCCAGAAAATATATATTTCAATGGCAAAATATTGCAAAGAGCAGCATGTACAGCATATGGTCTGTAGGGAACCAAATCCCCTCCTGATACCTTGAAGCAGATTAGAGATGAAGAAGACAGAGGCCCGGGGAAGAGGGGGGGTACTCTGCCAGAATTTGGGTAGGGGTGTTCCACTGGGATTCTCAAAGGGTTACCCTGTTTATGACAAAAAAAAATCAATTTTGTAGACCCTGTTTATGATAAAAGATATAATTTCTTGCACTGAGTTCCTGTTTCAATTACATGTATCATGTCAGCTTGTGTATYGTTTTTTTTACCACCATAATAAACTAGTTTCGCTCAATGCRAAAGTAGAAACCCTGAATATGACAAGAAACTCAAGAAGAACTTGGACCTTGAGATAAAATTGCATACCCAGTTTATGACAAGAAGCTCAAAAAAACAATACCCTGTTCAGCGRATCATCCCTGTGTAGTCCATATATGGGAGTACCCCCCCCCCTCCCCCGGGGACAGAGGAAGGAAAACCTGAGAACCCATAGAGTTGTTACCATGTTATCAAATAAAAAAAACCCCACTATATCTGAATCAATATTTTGTGCAACACCACATCCTATCTGATCAATGTCTACCACAGGAAGCCCATTCTTAAACTAAATTCTTTCTTATTCAAGGCATCAGTGCATGCATGTGATAAACTTGGTCACCAACCAATTCACTTGGCAGCTCAGACTGGTTGCATTGATTCAATGGATTACCTYATATCAAAACATGATGTTGATCCACAAACCAGAACAGAGAAAACATCCATGACTCCTTTACACTTTGCATCTAAGGTAATTTGTTATGTATGATACAGTGTCCATGGGAGGGGAGGGGAAGGGGGAGGCACTCCCAGAAAAAGAAGGGAGGGGATCGTTGCATCTTTTAAGGGTTAAAATTGTAAATCACTTCCTCTTTTTCGGTAGAAAAAAGAAAATCTGTTGGTTTGTAGCATGTGTGGTATATTTTAGGGCTACTCGATTGTCATAAATATTTTATTTTGTGTTCCGAAGTATTTTTTAAAAGTTAAATTAAACCAAGACCACACCCAAAGAGTATCTTTTAGGGGTTAAGGTTACTGGAGACCTTCAGGGGTATGTTTCGTTTAAGACTATCCCTTTGCAACACTTTAAACAAAACCCCATGAAACTATATATCGTTTTAAAGATCATATAATACAGATTCAGAAAATAATATTATTTGAAAGCGATTTTTAAATTTGAAACAATGCCGGAGCCTTAAACACAAAATCGTCGTGTTTCTTGATTACAGACCCATTTATACAGTGTTAGCCTTGAATCAGTGTCTAAATATTAACAAATACCAACGGTAAAGAAAAGAATGCACAACTTCAAAAATACAATCACATTGAAATTCCACGCACCTTCACTGGAACACATGCATAYTCAAAATAATTCTTTACACAATCGAGGCTAACCCTGTACAACAGAGAATGCGAAACTGAAGTATTTGCTGTCACGATGAAGACAGCACAAAGTGAATAGTCAGCCAATCAACGCGCGCTATATGTTTCAAACATCTTTCGATTTCAAATTTTTTTCCCTGTGTATTGAATGCTTTCTTTCACAGGTAGCATATGCTAGGTTTCTGTAGTGTCATGTTATAAGGAAATGTATGGCGATGCTTAAAAAGCTCAATAAAATCGTGAAAATGTTGAATAAAGTAAAGAAATCTTCGCTGAACTTTGAAAAGCAGTACCTCTTTCGCCCTGTGTACTAAGATGTTGGATTTAATCAGTTTTAACGTTTTTTTCCTCCACTGGTAAATCCAAAATCTAAGTACACATGGTGAAAGAGATACTACTTTTCTAAGGTCAGCTAAGATTTCTTTACTTTATTTAACATTTTCACGATTTTATTTAACTTTGTAAGTAAAATACTAGACAAATATGAAATAATAGTACAATAGAAGGTTGAAGTGCCTCTATTTCGCTGAAGTGGTCGCCTGCTTTGTGGTTCTGCAGCTTAAGGTCCTACTACCTCACTCTGAAACGGAGTGACGTAAAAGAACCACTGAGGACGTATAGAAACCCTGGCAGTAATAAACCTCAGTGTCTGGCCTTTACTAATAATTTTTTAATAGGCTGATTGTGAGATGGGTACGGAAGATCTTACGTATTTGGAAAGTGTTGCAGTGTACATACCTCGAAGGGGACCCTGAGTCCTATTGTGCAGCACTAGCCCGCATGCAAAATCTCGAATAACTATAACTAGCGCCAGTCAAGAACTGATACGTATCGACTGACTATTTTCGATTGACGGCAATGTGAAAAAACGAATTTCAGCGTCTAGCTTTTAACTACCGAGTTCGTAGTAACAACATGTGTTTTTTGATAGGAGGGCCATTCACATGTCATAAAGTATCTAGCGGGTTTAGGAGTTGACGTCAATGCACAGGATCATCAAAAACGAACAGGTACAACTAGATTAAACATAACTGGTATATAACAGGGAGCCCAATAAGACTGGAAGGTGGAAATAAAATGGGAGGGGGGGGGAGGGATCGGTAATACGAACAACTGAAAAATGCACTAGAACATTTTTTTCGTGCGCACTTGTGTTTTTGTTAGACAGTGTTTTTCATATCATTCGAGACCAATAGACCTTATTCGTAGCGTGACAATCTTTTCCCAATTCAGCGTGACAAACCTCCAAGGGATTTATTTTCTTTTGTTTTTACTCTTCGAAAAATTCATGAGTATCCCAAAGGATACGAAAGGAATAACGATGATATCCCGACGAGCTTCAAAACAACAGCTCTTCATTCCTCCAGAGGTTTGTCACGCTGAATTGGGAAAACATTGTCACTACACRAACAAGGTCTATTGTAAGGGGGAGGGGCACATTTCCGGTATGCAACTTTGTAACTAGATGTAAGTGTTATCCTCGTGTGCGTAAATCGGAGTGAAGCAAAAGTAAACAAAATTGTTCTCAATCTCTCGAGTCTTTATTTGCTATATAAAGGAAACCGGACCACCGGCCGAGTAACAGGTCGAGGTATTAAAGCGTCAATAACTTTTGCCCAGACATTGATTATTCCAGATGTCAACAAAACCGAATTCAATAAACGTTTTATTATACATTGTTCAAATAGATAATAACTGATAATACAAAGATATAAACTTTATAATAAACTTTTTTTTTTAAGTTTCAAAATAATACATCGAAAAAAAAACTAAAGCTAAGCGCCATCCGCTGACCTATGCAGACTCGTTTTTTAGATAACTACCTGCAAATAACTATTGACCGCTGAAAAATCGCTGGCGCATGCAGATAGCTAGAATTATATGTAGGTTCTCGACCAATGAGAATTCAGATAGTGAGTGCAATGTATAGTTATTGTTGATTACATCATAGTAAGTTCGTGTACTCAAGATACACCACAAGATCTTCACCATATTGGGACAAGTTTTTCTTTATGACTGCATACATTTTTTCTTTCAGCTCTTCATCTTGCATCGGCAGCGGGACACCTTGAAAGTGTTAGTCTTCTTTTAGTAGATATAAAGGCTGATGCTTCAATACTTGATACGAACGGCAAGACTGCGCTGGACCTCGCTATAAAACCATCTGTAATGAAACTTTTAAAAWAAAAAATTATTATTCATGTTTTGAGTTTAGCTCTGGTCATGACGGGAATACCCCCGCTTCTCRGCCTCGATTGTGTACACAGATGTGGTTTTCTTTTATTAGTTTCCATTGTATAGTAAGGAATGTACGTATTATGGAACAATACGAGTTGATTAAAATGCCACGGGTTTTGGTTGAAGAGCTGAATATTATAACACACAACCGAGACTGAGCAAACGGAACTCCAAACTGGAGTATTTTCTCTTTTTTTCCCCTTTGGGAGGAGGGGTGTAGGAAGAGGAGGTTTTTGAAAGATTATAATTATAATTTTCTGTTGATTTGATAGATTTTCTTTGACTACAACTTACGTTTTTGCTCCTCGTATCTTGGCCCCGAAATTAAATTTTTTACAACATCTCACGTAAATAGCACGTTCTATAATAAGCCTTTTCATAGTTTAAGAATCGATTCCACTGTGCATGCGATTTTATCCCGAATTTCTCACCTTTTGTCTAAACCTTTTGTTCTTAATTAAACAAAAGAAGGTGAGAAATTCGGGATAAAATCGCATGCGCAGTGGAATCGATTCTTAAACTATGAAAAGGCTTATTGGTCGACAGCTTTGTTCAATGAGAGGACAGACTATTAGATGACGTAATGTTTTTCAAAGCGAGACCTTAGCTTTAGAATTTACTTTTGAACATTTCGAAACGTTTACCTATGTTTGCACAAAAACAGTCTGACTGAGATTATCAGGCGTGTTTTTGCACTGCATTGACAGCTTCAAAGGGAAGGATTAACGATCAAAATTAGGAAAATAAAGTTTTTCATCTTCCTTCTTTACGACAACTTTGGTGCAAGTTTTTGAGTCTAAAGTGTCATTCAACTCGATCCAAAATGTTAATTTCTTCTTAAAACGAAGTGGAAATCATTGAGGTCAAAACTTTTAAAAACGCTTCATGTTAGATCGGTGTACCAAATTATTTTTTCCGTCTTTGCAAAAGCCGTTGCAAAAGCCATTTAGTTGCAGGTGTCAAGTTTTAACCAATAGGTCTTTGTCTTAATCTCTTTGTTTTTTATTTGATTTGTTGAAGTGTCTTCCAAGATCGTTTTTTTGTGAAAAAAAGACAGCCTAATTTCTTAATCTATCCCTCACAAAAATAAACAAAGAAAATCCCCTATCTTATTTTCTATAGTCTGTCCTCTAAAGGTCTCGAACAATCTTAGCTAGAGCAATATGAAAACGCGTGAAAAAGTGATAATAGATTGAGGCTGCTTATAGTCTTATTTTATAGCTCTTAAAATGTCTATGCTCATGCGTCGTTTCGCTTTTTATTTAGTAGGATGTTGTAAAAAAAAAAATCGCACATAGATTTCTATTGTCTGTCCTCTTATTGAATATAGATGACGTCTTAAAATGTTCAAAACTTTACATTGGAGCCAGGAGCGCTCGTGGTTCCACTTGAGTTTTGAACATTTTAATACGTCATCTATGATCAATAAGAGGACAGACAATGGAAATCTATGTGCGATTTTTTWWAAATTCATGCGGGATGCCTGTGGATATGGTGGGAAACTCAAAATAGGAAACGCGTATGCTCTCTATATAGACGCCTGCTGTCCTTCGGAATGCAGCTCAAATTGGAAGAAATAACAATAGGTTTCCAATTCTCATGCTTGTGATGGAAATAATTTTGTTTTGTCATCTAAATCACACGTCACATGCAAGAGGTATATAGGTTGCTATCAATAGACGTCAATTCCTGTAATAGCTGCGTTTTTAATGCCCTGTAGGATTTTGGAGGTTGTTTTGATCTTTTGTTTTCTGGTTTCATGTCGTAGAAATAGTCAAATACAATAGTTTGGGAACTTATTTTGACATGTTTCGACTTAACATCCGCTAGTTGCCCCTCAGTCAACCGCTTGTTTGCCCCCCAGGCAACTCCAAAAAGTCAAGTGATTGATAGTAAGCAATTCGCGGTAAAATGGCAAATTGCTCCCCTCCCCCATCTGCYCTGTGGTCAAGACCTCGCTACGCCACTGTTTGCGAGGCAATCTCGTACCCAGAGCCCACGTTCCTCATGGTCAGCACCGAGAAACGAGATGCTGTGGTTGTAACCGATTTTCAGTTGGCTTCCGGTCCGTGAATTTCGGACCGGAAGTTTCAACTGCGCATGCCTTAATCAAAGGTAAGCTGATGTTTGGGTTACCTTTGATCTTCAGGGATTCAAATTGCTTCGGACAAACGGTTTTCAATTATTGACCTTTTAGCTTGAATATAGTAGTTAAATTATTTATCCTTTGCCTTCTTAAAGTTTATTTAGTAAATTTTTCCCCCGGGTACTAATTGCTTGTGCTATTTTGTGAGTTTTTAACACGTTTTTTTAGTTCAATCACGACAAATGGAAGAGCGATCGGCCGCGAGCTCGACTCGCACTAAAACCTCGTGAAAATTTGCTCAAATTCCAGTGTCCTTCTCATTTACTTCGGGTATGTGAAAGATTGATTATCGTACCACATTCTAGCAAAATTTGAATTCGACCCAAGCCAATTTAGTCTGTTAGCCATTTTATTTGCAGAACGACTCTTTCTATTGTTTTTCTCCGAATCAATAGGAATGCTCAAAAAATCGGTTGCAACCAGAGCCTCTCTTTTGTCGGTGCTGACCATGAGAACGTGAGCTCTGGGAACGAGATTGTTTGCGACGTTAAAAGCTTTACAGCAATTAGGATAAACTGATAAAAATAATGATATGCTGGTACCAACATTTACTCATCAGTATGAATGGGTAAAATGGGAACTGGGAATTGCCTATTTTGCACTGGGAGAAATGATATTCAAGTAACTTGGAGTGAGGAAAAAAACAATTTGGGTATAGGAAAAAGGTTTTTTCGGATATGAAGGAAAGTAGGATTTGTAAAAAGATTAGAAAATAGGATTGAAACCACTCCCCTTCAGGGCCCGACTAGCTTCCTTTGCGGACGTTATTTGTGTCGGTCTCTTATCCCTCCCCCGTTAGTTGGGGAGGGATAAGAGACCGACACAAATAACGTCTGCAATGGAGGCTAGGGCCCGACAGTCGCGACAGGGAAATTCGTTAACAATGACAACAACAACTATAATAATTATATTAGTTTATTTCGCCACATTTGCAAGGTAAATTGAATAAAAGTGGGGGTCAAAAATAAATATCAACATAAGCACAATAGTAGCATTTATTATATAATTACCAATGAAATATCTATTTTTCTCTATTTCGAAAAATTGATATCTTCACACGTGAAAATAACATGTTATTTTCACGGTATTTTCACGTGTGAAAATACCACCATTGTGATGGCTATTCAAAAATACACGGAATGAATTGCCTGAAAAAGCCAAAACATACTTTCATTGATAATTATATAATAAACAGAATATTACATGGGCGCTTGGAGATAAGAAATTTATCTTCTCGTGTTGAAAATCTCTCACTCGYTCGCTGCGCTCACTTGTGAGAGATCTTTTCAACACTCGAAGATAAATTTCGTATCTCCGCGCGCCCATGTAATATCCTCTATACATTAATGGGGTAAACTGGTCAAAGAATACCTTGTTCACCTGTGGTAAACCGGTCATAAAATACCTTTATTTTCGTCCTGATTCCTTCCCTACAAAATGTCCTGACCCCTCCCCTACAAAATGGAAGAGTTGCGCAATTTTAAACAAGAGTCTTCCGGTCCTTAGGGTTCCAGTTCCAGTCAATTAGGACTTCCRGTGAAGCACTCCCCACCCGCTTCCCACCATACCCATATACTCCTTTGCGCGGGATATTCTCACATGTGAATCGCAGGCGATTCAATGGTTAGTTAGGGTGATTCGATAATTAGTGGAGTAGGGTTCAAAGAAGCCAAAAAGAAATGGTGTTCTTAACGTAATGGGGCTTGGGAGTGAAGGACATGTTGACGTGTATTGCTTGTGTGTAGCACTACATTSTGGAATCGAACCAGAGCCTCATTACTTCTGATGACCATCTGTAATTTGTGTGCTGCAAGTGCGTGTGTTAAACGTAATGTGGATTGAGTATCACAGGAAAAACTATGAAATTTCATTTCGACAAATTGGGAAAATGTTTTTGAGAACATTTCCTTATAATGGGATATTATTGGGAAACCACAGAATACAATATTGGGAATCTATTGGAACTTTTGAAGCTGTTTTTCTATATACAATTCTTTCCCAACTTTCTCAACAAATTGTCCCAAATGAATCCCATCATAATTATTGGTAATAATTTGAGATTACATTTCCAATGAAATCCCATGCTAGGGAATTGTTTGGAAATATTTCCCAACTGAATCCCAAAAATGGGAATTAATCATGAACCACAATCTTGTTCCTAAAAAAATCCCATACTTGGGAATGGTTTGAAACATTTCCCAACTGAATCCCAAAAATGAGAATTGAACTGCAATCTTGTTTCCCAAAAAAATCCCATGGTTGTTTGGAAATATTTTCCAACTGAATTTTAGATAGTTACCCTTCGTTATTCCCTATAAGTGAGATACTAAGTGAGACATTATAGTCATTTAAGAATACTGTGACTGTTACAAGTCAGTTATGGAGTAGCTCCTTGCCACTGTGAAGAGCTTTTCGAACTGCCATCAGCAATCCCGATTAATGAATACCATGGGACAACTTTTCTTGCACATTTTCCAGTTGTTTCTGTAACATAAATGTTTGGCATTCTTGTACTTTCCACGAAGAAAAACACATCCACAGTTTCATTTGTGTGTTGACATTGTGGGCATGACCATACCAAATATCATTAGCCTCTACACCTTGAATGAGTAGCATATCCCCCTTATCTGGAAAGACTGGTACAACAACATCAAATGGAAGCTGCTCTTGATGCCTCTGATAGTCAACAACACTAGATAATTCTTCTTCACATTCATACAGGATGACTTTTCTTAGGATGCTATTGACATCACAAAAGGTTGGTTCTCTTAGTGGGCTGCTCTGAACCTTTGAAAACCCACTCCAGAAATTTCTTATTTGGTGTTCAAAAGATTGGATGGATTTTTTATCAAGGTATGTTTCCTAGATTCMCCAACTACCGTTTAAAACAGTTTTCTTTTTGTCTTTGTTAAATCCAATCGAGTAATTCGAATTTATTGGCGGGGACAGATTTTCGGCAAAAACGCGCGGAAAGTTGAAAAATCACACCTTTTTGACGCCTTATATCTCCATAACCAATACAGGGACCCCCTTCTTTTTTTTTTCATTATTTGAAAGCCCTAACAATAAACTTCCAATGACAGAATTTWAAAAAAAATTCATAGAAGAATTTTGAAGATCCGGTACTACCTTAAAGATTAGCCATAACAAGCCAGCAAGACCAACACCTGCCTTTGGAACTTTTGCCATTTCTTTATTGCAGTTTCTGGACCCCAAAGTTTCAGTGTGCTATGGCTGTAAAGAATCCCTCAAACCAGAGGGCAAAGTTCCATCACCACCACTCGACTTGACAATTGTATCTCGAGTAAGGAGAGATTACATCAAAGATGGTGTTTCGAAAACTTCTCCCGATCTCTTAAATGTATATTACCATTTAAATCCGAATTGCGTATCACAGAAACATAACTTTTTTTATTCCGTCACTGGTGCAGGTACCACCAGATTTGCTTCCATTTTTAGATACTGGTCATGTCAATTTTTTATATGAAAAACTGAATGTAAAAGTTGAACTGAAGCAAACACGAAATCAATCAATCAATCAAACCGTGTAACCAAAGAATAGAAAAAAAAAWGAAAGATGACAATTTTGTACTATCAATTTTTTCCCCTGTTATTCGTGTGTGATATAGTTTCATAAATCCCTGAAATAGATGTTAGTAAAGTTAGTACTACACACTTGAATTATGTCAATAGTGACCAGTTGGCGGATTTTTGTTTTTATGTCGACCACTCTATTCACATACGTGTCGCGTGCAATTAGCGTGACCTGTATTACCCAAATACTTAGGCTGCATAAATTGCACAATCTTTAGTTACAGAGACCTTTCTTCCGAAGTTGGTCACTTAATTCATTTTCTCTGGAATCATTCTGTAAACCTAATACTTAGTAGTCCAGTAAAGGCRTTTTTCGAGCGACATACCTCTTTAGGCGCGATAATGGAACTGTCATTCCATCAGGTCGGGTTCAAATAACGATAAACAGCTGTCAGTCAGCCTTGAAATCACTATTAACAATGCTGCCTTGTCACGAACAATACTAAAATTAAATCTCAAAAGAAAAAAAATTATAAAAGTTTAATAAAAAACATCGGTCCGGGTTTTACAGATTTTGGGTCCGGGTTTTACGGATTTCGGGTCCGGGTCCGGGTCCGGGTCCGGGTCCGGGTCAGTTTTTGCGTATCAAAGGGCATGGGGTAAAACATGGAGTGGACACTTGGTCTCTTGGACCCTGGACTCTTGGACTATTCTTTGGACCCATGTTTGAACCATTATATTTCTCATAACTATTGGTCATCATATTCATTAGTCTTTTTCTTTTTTTTTTTGAAATCACTTGTAAGGTTTTTATTTTGCTGCCATATGATGGCCGCGTTCAAATCAATTTATTTGCCTGCATACTGAGCTTGCTTTTATCTCCCATGTAAAATGATACTTAACTTGACGACAGATTTGTAAAGTAACTCTAGCTGAAAAAACAGATATAATGGGCATAAAAATGTTGAGGGGTTTTTGTCTTTTTTTGTCCTATGACATTCAACATCGTAACAGAAGAGCGCGGTAAGAATGTATGGCCAGACTGACCGTTTGCCAGTGTATGTGGTAGGTAATTAGTTTTGCTAGATGTTAGGGTTTGGATAATAAGATAACAAGGTGACGACAAGCGCGATACTGGGAATATTGAAGGGTCGTACAAAGGGATCTCAACGTATAGGCTGTCTTTATACTTTGTATTGCATGCACGTGACTTGAGAAAGAGCGAGTTGTGTGATATGAGAGTAAAAGAATAACAAAGTTGTATAAACTACCTTCTCTGACGTTGATTAATACAGGTAAAAACGAAGTACATATCATATGCTGATGTCGTTTCTGGTAACGGTAAGTAAAACGCAACTATAGGCTTTCACTCAATAGCGTCTATGATACGTTGGGTTATATATTTAAATGGTCAGTCCTAACCAAACATGTGCTCTTTGCTCTATACCCAGAATCTTCTTCTGACGATGGTGATTTAAACATAAGGTGAATGCTACTCTGTGTGGTTCAATTCACTTAGCGCACGTTTCTGGATTGCTGATTGCAGTTTTGTTCACCATTGCAACTTTCTTTTTGGACAAAATTAAAAGCATGGTGTTTACGAAACCTATTTAAAATCATCCCGGGTGTTTCATCTATTCGGAATGCATTTCCCTGATTAGTCCTGCGATGGCATTACAGTCGCTACTATTATTAAATGTAAAAAAAGTTAGAACACCCTTTATTTCATAGGAATCTAATACGTACATTATACTTATAGCGCACTGGCAAGTCCGCCTATCCATCAAAAATACCGCAAGAAGCCGCGGAATGATAAAGATAAAGGTATGAAAACGTTTGTTTACTTCATAGGATAACTTAACCATCTCTTAATCTGACTCACGTGCACAGGTAAGATAAAATCTCAAACTCGGCATGTAGAGGCTTTAGTCTTGATAGTTTTAACTTCTTTGAAAAGATCATTTCTTACTTTTCAGAATTCGCACATTTTTAAACTCCAGTATGCCAATATACAATTTTACTGTATGGTTTTAATATTCATAATAGTTCTTTTCTTTTTTGGTGTATTTTGCACACAAATTCAAATTTACATTTGATATGCTTCGGATTTTAATTAACACTATTTGCATTCCAGCATCACCATCCCCGACAGTCCGGCCAAGGATCTATACGATGAAATAAAGAGATAATTTACGACAAATACAACAAATTAGCCTCGATCAAGATGCTATAGATTTCTTTCTTTTTATCACTTTTTAATTCATTCTCACTTGTTTATAAAAAATAGTGATGAAGATGACGATAATGATGAAGAAGATGAGGAGATTGAGTTCTTTAAGGAAGAACCCCTTCTGCCAATACACCAAAAGGGACTGACCAGTGGCATTCCATCCAAAAAGGTGGTAGAGATTCTTTTGAATCCTAACGAAGACCGTGTTGCCCGTACTGTCCCAGGTGGAACCAATAGAAACGCCTCATTTGTTATTGACGTAACTTCACAATATGTGGGGCACTTGAAAAATATCTTGGCAGACGACCTTGGAGCATGGCACCCTACTGGCACCAAACAACATTATTTCCAGGGACCCTCGAAAAGGAATCCACCCAAAAAGATCACACAAATGGAGTTTCAGAATTCATCTGGTGGACTAGGATTCCGTTGCCCGAGAAACTTCTACCGCAACAAGTCGTCCCCTGATTTACAAAGAATTGTTATCTATTTAACAGGTTAGTGTATGTGCAGGGCAGCAATTTATTTTTTCCATTCATTTTCTGCCCCCTTCATATAATACCAAAACATGCCCTCTTCCAATTTATGTCATTCCGAAGCTAATATTAATAATCATTTTAGGACCCAATGGTAGCACTCACCCCATGGTTTTTGTGCAATATATATGTGACAATGGCGAGCATGACGTACAGGTCAATGCCCATAGTAATTCCAAGAAATCCAAAGAGTACTACCGTACCTCTCACACCACAATAGAGAGACTTAAAAATATTTCTCAAAATAATACGCCCAAAACAGCTTTTTATCAGAGTATCGAAGAAGTGGGCACCATCTGCGAGATTCATAATGCAGCAAGCCACGCCAGGGATTTGCAGCATAAAGAAAACATAAAGAAGGAGTTAAAGGAAAAACCCACAAATGATTTGTTGGAGTTGATGGAGATGGCCAAAGAAAGCGACAGGGATTCCAAAAAAGCGTTTGTGCGTAAAGTGGAAACATCAAGAGATCCCTTCGTCATGCTTGCTACAAACCAACAGTTGAAATTTTGTACAAACCCGTCTAAATTCAGTGTGCTGGGCGTTGACCCTACTTTCAATTTTGGAAAGCACTATGTTACTCTTACAACCTACCGTCATATTCTGCTGCGTAACAAGCGTGGTGAGCACCCTGTACGAATAGGACCCACACTGGTCCACAACAGGAAGGCAATCGAAAGCTGCTATGAGCTTTCATCTACTATGGTGAAACTAAACAAAAACGTTCAAAAGGTCCTTGTATATGGGACAGACAGTGAAACGGCTTTAGCAGAAGGCTTTGGAAGACCGCTACCTTTTGCACAACATCTCCTTTGTGATATCCATATGAAAGATAACATTCAGTCGAAACCTACCGAGTTAGCTATACGTGGTAAGGCTGCTGAAGAAGTACTAACGGACATTTTTGGTGCCGATCTTAGTAATAACAGAGTTCCAGGCCTTATCGACTCCAAGAGCGAGAAAGAATTTGAGACAAACAAAACTAATCTGAAAAGCAAATGGTCATCACTCCACAACCAAGGAGAGCGTTTCTTCAACTATTTTGAAAAATACGAATCAGATCCCATAATGAAAACAATGATGCCTGAAATACGAGCTATGGCTGGATTAGGTTGGCCTCCAGCTGTTGGGTTCCCTGTGTTATTGTTACTAGCTTGTAACCAAATATAAGTTAGTTGATTGATTACATGCGGACTCAGATAGGGGACGCTTGTCGAATAAAAAGGATACGTTAAAACCAACTTCACATGGTGTCAGGAGCGGGATATAAATTGTAAATTATCTTCGGAACCAGTAAGGAGACAGACAATAATCGAGAGGACCGACACAAGTCCCAATGGCCAGCCAAATCCCTCTACCTGAGAAACTCGAGTCAAAGAGACCGGAAGCGTGGAAAACTTGGATCGAACGTTTTGACTTCTACCGTATCGCTTCAGAGTTACATACTAAAGGAGATGCAGTCCAGGTTAGTACGTTAATTTACGCCATGGGAGGCAACGCTCACGAAATCTCAAAAAACTTTCCTCTTGGTGCAAAAGACGTAACCTACAAGAACATGGTGAAATGCTTCAACGATCATTTCATCGGAAAAACCAACGTTATCTACGAACGAGCTAAATTCMACCGCCGCTGTCAACTAGAAACCGAGTCAGCTATTGACTTCATAGAAGATCTACACAAGTTAGCAGAATCGTGCAATTATGGCGACCTAAAAGATGAGCTTATTAGAGACAGATTAGTTGTTGGAATTCGAAACGATGCTTYGTCCGAGAAACTGATGAGTGACGAATCCTTGACGCTCGATCAAACAATCAAGAAGGTCAAAGAATCGGAATTGATCAAGGAACAACAATATAATATATGACGTAATGTTATATGATCCCAATGTTATCATTACATAATCATAGACACTACTTATTGTACTTGAGTAGTTATAACAGTGGCTTGAAATAAACATCTTGATTCTACACGATCTGAGCGACTACAACATGGTGTCAGAACGTGGTCTATGAGCGAACCATTACTCGTAT